TGTGTGTGTGTGTGTGTGTGTGTGTGTGTGTGTGTGTGTGTGTGTGTTTGTTGGTGGGGAGGGCTGTGTTGGTGCTTGTGAGCTGGCCTCTGCTCCAGGTATGTTCTCAGGACATATTCTGGCCCACAGGAAACTTAGAAACTCTCATCCTGCTGACCTTTGCACCATGGCAAACTGGGCACTGTTCTCTGTCCTCTCCCAAATTAGCATATATGTGCAAGAAAAGTTGCAGAACGGTGTACTGTGTATACAATTGTAAATAATGTGTAGCCTGTAACCTATAGTGTTTTATGTTATTATACGTTTCCTAGTATAGTGTGGAGTATCTGTGGAATGGTGCAGAAACAAAGGGCCACTTTGCTTTTTTTGCTCCTGCCACGGATTATACATTAGATTTGCAAGGGAAAAGATCAATAACCCACTTAATTGTCTTTTTCTTTCCTTTGTACCTCTTGAATTTTGTGCTTATGTATCCATGTTCCATTGGAAAATAATTTACTAAAAAAAATCATTGCAGGTTTCTATAAAAGCTCTTGTTGTAGCATTGTCATTCTACAGTCAGACTCTTTTGGTGAACTCTCTTATTAATTTTATTATTCTGTCTCATTTTTTCCTTCTGACTTCTTAAGTAGATAAAGGAACTGTACAAATTATGACTGTTTTATATCTTTCTACTCACTAGTTTATAGTTATTTCTTTTACTTATCTCATTGCACTGTTAGGGACCTGTAGAAAAACAGTGTTGATGACACAGCACATATTTGTCTTGTTTCTGATTTTAATGGTTGACATTTCAGCGTAAGATTGGTGTTTGCTGAAGGTTTCTGAGTAAATAATGTCATAAGATGTAATTCTATTATATTATGTAAATAATACAATAGAATTTATAAGACATTAAAATGAGCGAACTAGATATCTATATATCAGGCTAGATAATTTTCAGAAACTTAATGTTGAATAAAATAATTAATTTGCAGAAAGATACAGTATAATGCCATTTATATAATTTTAAACATATGAAACTATGTTATTTTGGATACATATATTTATAGCAATATTAAAAATGGACACTGAAAGAAGTGCATCAGTTTTGCAATATCAATTGCCTCTGGGAACAGCTGGAGGACAATGTGACTCCAACAATAAATGCAGTTTAATTTTATCTATTAAGAAAAAATTATAAACAAAGAAAGCATTAACATTGCTTATTATGGATGATGTATACATTGTTCCTCATTGTTTTTTCTCTGTATTTCTCTTTTTAAAATTAAAACTGAAGATGTATTGTGTACCTAATATAATTAATTTTAAAAATTCCTTCACCTAGACATATTCTCAATTAATTTTAGGATAATAAAGACTAAAAGGAGACCCTAAAATCTTCCCAGAATAAGGGGAATGTCACCTACAAATCAATCTGGCATCAGACTTCCCAGTCATAATACTTGATGATAAATGTCAATGTATAAATGCCTTTAAATCCTTAGAGAATATGATTTTCTCGAGTATTCTATTCCTAAATATACTATCAAGCAGATATATAGTGACAATAAAGATGGCCTTAGAACTGAAATTACTCCAAAAGTTTACCTCCTGTAAACTTTTCCTTAGCAAATTGTTTGAACATGTAATCCTAAAAAATGAGATAGTAATCAATTGAAAAGTAAATATGGAATCCAGGAAATAGTGATCCCAACTTGGAAAAGTAATAAAGGCGACTTTTAAGGTGATGGTCAAACAGCAGGCCCTGATTAACCAGGCCAAAGTGAAGCAGTATGATAGAGGATTAAGGATAGTGGATGAACTCATGAATAAAAGGAGACTTGGGAAAATGAATTGAGAGGTTAGAAAATGAAAGCATAGAAAAACTAGAGGGGATAATAAAAGCAAGTAAGGGAAGAAAAACAATTAGAAGATAATCTAAGAAAATACTACAGTAACGACCCTCAATAAACCATACCTCCCTGCAT